CCAGGGACACCCCGAACCTGCCCCCCTCCACACAAAGGCTACCCCTTTATCCTTTTAAAGGTATTACTTTATCCCTTTAGAGATACTACTTTCTCTCTAAAGTAGCATCTTTGAAGATACTACTTTAGTTCTTCGAAGGTACTAAAGTAGCAAAGATGCTACTTTATCTCTCTAAATATAGTACTTTATCTCTCCAAAGACACTACTTTATCTCTCCAAAGACACTACTTGCTCTCTACAAAGACACTACTTGCTCTCTTCAAAGACACTACTTGCTCTCTTCAAAGACAGTACTTGCTCTCTTCAAAGGCTATTACTTTATCTACTTTATCTCTACTCTAAAAACAAAACCGCCCTTTGTTTCAATCACCTTTCCAAAACTCTTGTTAAGTGATTAGCTCTATGTCTTCCCTAACTTCCCTAACTGAGCTCGAAAACACCTATGTTTACACATTTTTGGGTTTTTTTTTTCATTCTGCTTGCCCATTTCCTCTTGCTTTTATTGCAGTGGTCTCAGAGATCTGAACCACGCAAACAAGACTTGAGAGACGTGCAGCACTGTCAGGGGCTGTAGAGGAAGACAAAAGCCACCCAAATTCAGCCTCCCTGGCACTCGCTTCAGCTCAAGTGTGGCTATGGGAAGAAGTGTCCCAACGCACCTTTTTCAGCATAATGATGCCCAGCACAGCCACTGCCGTGAAGGACAAGGCCACCAGGATCATCATCACTGCCACAGCCGTGTTCGTCCGCAGCGCTATCAGGCTCAGGATCCAGCCACTGCAAAAAAACAAGAGCCTGTTATTGCCCCCAGAGTTCCCTCTTCCCCACCCTCCTCCCGCCTTGCCAGGGTCCTGGGCCGGCCTGGGGTCAGCACACAGCTCACCTGAATCCCCAGTTTGGGATGCCAATGGCCTGCAGCACGTACATCACGTTCTGGGCAAAGAACACGAAGAAGAAGACAAAGAAGTTGAAGGAACTGTCGCTCCTGGGAGGAAGAGACAGGCAAAGTTAGGCTGCAGGAAAAGAGCTCTTAAAAATTCCTTAGAGCAGGGGGACAGCGTGGAAACCCCACATCCCGCAGAGCCAGAGGCCCCAGGGAGCTGCAGCAGGTACCCCCAGCTCGGGCACACACCTGAAAGCTTTGTACATGGGCCGGTACCAGCAGACAAAGGAACAGGGCGTGTAGAGCAGAGCCCAGAGGATGGAGAGGCCAAAACCGGACCCGGAGGAGGGATCCACGCAGAACCAGGCCAGCGAGGACAGGAAGTTCAGGAAGAGGGTAATGGTGCTGGCTGAGGGACAGGACAGCGCTCAGGAGCCTGTGGGGCTCACCCCACCCCACCCCAGACCAGGCACCACCCGCTCATCCCAATTTTCCCCAGAGCAACAGCACAGGACACTCATTCCCCTGCTCCCTCCCTGGGTCTGTCCCGAGATTCCCGGGCTGCACTCACCCATCCAGAGGTAGTACATGGTGGTAACGGTCTTCTGGAAGTCAGCAGGGATCTCGACAGGGATGTCCTGGTAGAAGCAGGGCTTCACGGGGCAGAAGGACGGCAGCGGGGGCCAGTTGTTGAGCCTCGCTGCGGAGGGAAGGGGGTGAGGAGGGGGGGCGGCTCCGAGGGGGCGGCCGCCCCTC